GCGACAGGACTTGCTGTGCTGGATCCCGGCCCACGCAGTGTGGTACCCTGCCTCCGGCAGTGATCAATACCTAGCATCTCAGGGGAAGGAGTAAACCCCCACCACACGCCTGGCTCGCTGCAGAGGGCTCAGATAATGTCTGTGAGCCCACCTGCTAGGGTGAGAGCTCTCTGTAATGCAGTCTCGGCCTACATCTCTGTGCTGTCCCCTTCTATGCTCTGCCAGCCCTAGGGTCTGACAGCACCCTGACCCCTCTCCCCACCCCATCCCTTCTCTGCACCTCCTTCCAGGCTGCCTCTAAAGCCAGGCTCTCACCGCTCACCTACGTCCAATTCCTTTCATCTCCTCCCTGAAGGGAACAGCCCAGCCCCGTCCTGTCTGCCCAGCCGTCCAGCTCTGCTCCACGACTATCCCAGTGCTGCCGATGCTCCTGATTTTGTCATGAGTCTCATAATTACTGCTCTCCTTAAAGCCCCCGCTCCTGGAGTCAGGTGCCTGTGTGATTGTTTAAGCCTTTCCTTCTTACAGAAAAAGCCAGTTTCTAGCTCTCGTGGCTTTGGAGAAAGCTTTGGAAATGGGACCCCAGGGAATCCTACAGACTCAAAAAGCAGACGGTGAATAAAAGAAACACCAAATCTCTTCTGTGTGCGCAATCGTGTGAGTTTAAAGCCATTCTCATGATTTCTGGTGAGCCCGGCTCCTGATCTACGAACCTCTGGGGTTGGCGATCCTGCTCTCCTGCCTTGTCAGCAGATGGGTCATGGCCTGCCCTTCTCCGCCCTTTGGGAAAGGCACTGACCTGCCCCAGGCTGCATTGCTCTGACCCGAGTCAGCTCAGCACAAGGTCAAGGGGACTGACATTAGCGTGTTACGGATTCCCCTGGCTCCCTGCGGCAGGGCTGGGCCGACGAGCGGTCGTGCTCTGAGCAACATGCAGCACATTGGCTGGGGAGCTTTGGATTCGCAATGGGAAGGGTGAAACTGGCTCTTTGGGTTTTCTCTCACCCATGTCGCCCTCTCTCATCCCCGCTGCCTCTTTCAGTGTTGCGCTCATCCCTCCCTGTTCCTCATCCTCTGTGACTGACCCCGCCAGCCCTCCCTCCTCCTCTGTCTCTCTCATGTGCCCCTTCCCCCCTTCCCGTAACTGACTCTGAGTTTACGGTGGGGTTTGTCAGATAATGAAACTGTCTCTCCCTTTATGGATAACGTCGCTTCCCCTTTCTCCTCGCTCCGCTGGGCTGCTTGGCATGCTTCACACCCACAGCACTTTCCCATGCAGACGCAGGCGCGGACCTGACCTGAGTCCAAGGACTCTCCTCCGCAGGCCATGCAGAAATAAACTCATTTTCCATTCCCCTCCCACCCTGGAGGATGGGGGCAGCAGGCTGTGCTCCCGGCAGCAGGGCACAGCTCAGTACTGCTGGGGGAAAAACAGAGCTAGATCCTCAGTTACACTCGGGGGAAAAGGGAAGGAAGGGCTGTGATAGCTTTTAGCTGCCTCTACACTTCTGAGGCCATGACGAACCCTGCCCCAGTGTAACTTAGAGCAGCCTTCAGGCTGACAGTTAGTTTCCCTGGTCTGCAGAGAAAAGAGAACAGCCATGCTCTGGACACAACTCTGACATGCTAGGGCTGAAGTGACCTTACACCAGCTCTGCAACAGGGAGGGGATGCCTTTTGCACCCACTTTGAGGCCCCTTTTTGCAGTGTTCATGGCGTTACTGAGGGTAACTTCTTTGCTGGGCAGGCAGTAGGGTTGCCAGATACTTTCACAAAAAATACCGAACATAGGGGGAGGGGGGAACACCGCGCCTTTAAATCTCCCCGCTCCCCCTGCCCCCACCAGACATGGCAGGGGAGGAATGTCCCAACTGGACTTCTGGCAGAGAAAAACAGAAAATACTGGACATTTTACATGTCAGGCATTTTGGGTTTTTTTTACCAGACAGAAGCCACAAATACCAGACTGTCCAGGACAATACCGGACACCTGGCAACCCTAACAGGCAGTGCAGGGCTGCTCCTTACACTCACTTTGGGGCCTGCCCTCCACAGGCAGAACCTGTCCGAGGTCGCAGAGCTGCAGTGATAGCTCGGGGCCCCGCTTACTTATCCTGCAAACTGGCAACACACAGGCAGCTGCTGGGTCCTTCCACTCAGCGGGCCTCCCCCTCGCCCGGGAGGAGTCAGCCGGGTTCAGAGCTCAGCTCACCTTGGCCATTACACAGAAGCTGCCACCAGGGGGGACTAAGGGTGTCCAGAACGGTGGCAGCTTTTGCTACCCGAACCCCTCGCCACCGGGTACTAGGCTGAGACTCACTCAACTCGCTACACGTAAGCCAGCCAGCAGCCATCCTGTGGCCGCAAGGGTCACTCCCAGCCAAGTTGTTGAGCAGGAGGTAAAAGGCTCTTGGAGAGCCCCGCTCGGCGCAAGGTTGGGCGGATCCCCTCAGGAGCTCAACAACAGGAGCTCCTCCCATGGGCAAGGGGCAAAGCCTGCTTGCTCTGCTGACACAGCATTCCCAGACCCTGCCAAGCCCGGGGAGACTCGGGCGGCGGAGAAGCTCTGACTCCCTGCGAGGTACCGCGCCTCCTGGGCTCTCCAGAGCCTGCTGTGACCCAGAGCGTCTGGCCCGACCAGCGCTGCATGGGCGTACGTACCGCTGCCAGCTTGTCAAAGCGGGCAAAGAGCTCGTTCAGCAGCTTCACCAGCTCCTGGGCGCTGCAGGAGGACGACAGCTGGGTGAAGCCGACTATGTCGGCAAAGAGGATGCTGGGAAAAGAAGAGAACACGAGCCAGAAAACATGAGCTGGTTTCACAGCAGGGACCACAGTGGTCATCTCACCTGACCTCCTGTAGGGCACAGGCCAGAGAACTTCCCCCAGATAATTCCTAGAGCAGATCTGTTAGAAAAACTTCAGCCATGATTCACAAATTGACCGCAAAGGGGAATCCCCCGTGACCCTTGGTAAATTGTTCCAGTGGTGACAATGATCCAGAGACATTTATCCAGAGCCGGCCTCCACTGAGGAACAATGCAGAGACTGCCCCACTCCTGCCACAGCCATCCAGCTAGGGGCCTGGTCTACACTAGGATCTTAGTCCGAAATTAGCCCCCCAGGTCAATTTAGTAAGCGATGCGTCCACACTATGCAGCCCATTATTCTGGAAAGGGGCCGCGGAATTCAAACTCTAGTAATGCTATTCCTGAACTTGTACGTCCAAAGTAACGTTAGTGTAGATGCTCCGGTGCCACTAATTCGAACTAATTGGCCCCTGGGAGGCCTCCCGCACCTCCCCAGATGGCTTCTTGGGGCTCTGAGTCTGAGGCAGGCTCCGTGAATGTGGACACGCTACCTCGGACGACACTCGGCTCTTCCTCGGAGTGAGGACACGGAACTTCGAATTTGTAAAATCAGGAGCCCAGAAGCTGAACGTAGTAAATTCGGAATAATCACCTAGTGTAGACATGGCCGGGGAGTCTGGCCAACCTGGTGTAAATTGGGTCAGCGGCAGCACCATTCAGATGGCCAGGCTGCAGGGGCCACTCGGAAGAATGCAGAGAAAGACAGAACCAGAGGTGACAGAGATGCTCCAGACCAGGCGGTTCATTCTGCAGGACATTCTTGCAGTGAAATATCCCACCCAGTGCTGAGGAATCTTGGGACTCTCCCAGGAGCATAAGAACTGCACTGCTGGATCAGACGGGGTCCATCTAGCCCATTATCCTCTCTCTGACACTGTCCTGCACAGAGGAAGGTGCAGGAAACCCCATAGGGGATGATAATGGAATTACCTTTTCAGGGGGAGGTTTATTCCTGACCCCTGTCACTGGGCTGTTGATCCATGCCCTGAAGCATGAGGATTTACATACCTGCTCATGTATTTTTTTTCATTTGACAAATTTCTTATTATCCTCAACTATCTGGGGTTTCAGAATCCTACTAAGCTTGTGTTCTCAGTGATACCTTGCAGCAGCAAGCTCCACCGGTTAATTATATGTTGCTTAGGAGTCAGGACAGCTAGTTCCCTTTATCAGCATTGAGCTGGCTGCCTTTCAAGTTCACTGAATACCCCTTTGTACGTGCAGTATGACTGAGTACCACATATACCAACTCTACCCCATTCATTATTTCATGTACGGAACACTGTGGGCTGCCCCTTTAAAGGCCAGGGAGTCTGGGTCCAATGTTCACTCAATTTTTTTCCATTTGTGCACGGAATAAATTTTATTCTGTGCACTGAGGCATGTGTGGATGTGCACCACCAGTAGAAACACGTGCTAATGCTAATCAGCTGGGCAGCATTTGAATCCCTCTGGGGTGGCTGCTCAAGCACACAGCATGCAGGGAACACTGATTGAGTCCAGCCAGCCCTGTTCTGAGGCAAGGTCTAAGTGACTGCCTGGTAAACACTTGATTCCCATAAAGCTGACAGAGCTCAGGTGAGGGAGAAAGCTGCAGGCAGCAGGCTGGCTTGGATGTCAGGTGCTGGAGTAGGGGCACTTCTAGGTGGAGAGCTTCTAGGAGAACTGGGGCAGGGCTGCCTGGAGGAGTGAGACTCGGACAAAGCTGCCAGGACAAGAAAAAGGACCTGGTTCGGTTGTTGTTTTTTTGCTGAAAATTGCTGGTCCCACTGATAAATGGAGCCGTAAGAACAGCCGCACTGGGTCAGACCAAAGGCCCATCTAGCCCAGTATCTTTTCTTCCGACTGTGGCCAATGTCAGGTGCCCCAGAAGGAATGAACAGGGAGTCATCATGTGATTCACCCCCTGTCGCCCATTCCCAGCGTCTGACACACAGAGGCTAGCGACACCATTCCTGCCCATCCTGGCTAATAGCCATTGATGGACCTGTCCTTCATGGATTTATCTAGCTCTTTTTTGAACCCTGTTATTGTCTTGGACTTCACAAAATCCTCTGGCAAGGAGTTCCACAGGGTGACTGTGCATTGTGTGAAGAAATACTCCCTTTGGTTTGTTTTAAACCTATTCATTTCATTGGTGAGTCTGGTTCTTGTGTTATGGGAAGATGAAAATAACGTTTCTTTACTCACTTTTTCCACAGCTCTCATGATTTTATAGACCTCTATCATATTCCACCTTACTCATTTCTTATCTAAACTGAAAAGTCCCAGTCTTATTAATCTTTCCTCATATGGCAGCCTTTCCATACCCGTCATCATTTTTATTGCCCTTTACTAAACTTTTTCCAATACCAAGATATTTTTTTTGAGATAAGGTGACCGCATCTGTACGCAGTGTTTCAGATGTGGGCGTACCATGGATATATATATAGAGGCAATAAGATATTCGCTGTCTTATTCTCTATCCCTTTGTAAGTGATTCCTAACATCTGTTTGGTTTTTTTTTGACTGCCGCTGCACACTGAATGGATGTTCTCAGAGAACTGTTCACAGTGACTCTAAGCTCTCTCTCTCTTGAGTGGTAAGCCTTGAGAGTAAGGGCCTGATCCAGACTCAGGGTATGATGGTATCAGTACTTTCTGGGTTGGAAAGACCAGCCATCAACCTCCAGCATACTGCTGTTGTATCCTTCCTTCCTTATCTCTCCCAAGCACAACACCCAAATCTTTCCCCCCATTCTGCATACAGATGACTGCCCAGGCTTTTAATTACCCTCGTTGCCCATCTCTGAATTCCCCGTTTCTGCTTTGTCTGTTGGCAGACAGAGTGACCAGAACCAGACACAGTGCAGGATAGGTATGTAAGCAACTAGTCAAGCTAGTCAACTACCTGATAAGCATATAGTTGAGTAGTGACTCGACAAGTCACTCCTCCCCTCCCCATGCTTGCTGCCTCTATCAGAGAGAGGCAGCAAGAGGGAGGGCAGGATCCTAGCACCGTCTCTGGAGGGGGACAGAGGAAGCAGAGGCATGGCTTGGCTGTCCCAGCTTGCACCCGGTCCTAAACGCTGCGCCTCTGCTTTTTAAATGGCAGCTCTTAATACATTTTAAATGGTGGCTTTTAATACATTTAAAAAGCAGAGGCGCAGCGTCTGGAACCAGGCATCAGCCAGGACAGCTGATTCTCGGCTTGCGAGTGGTCCCCCCCGCTGCACCTCTGCCTTTTAAATGTACTAAGAGCCTGATGGCTCTTATTACATTTAAAAGACAGAGCTGCAGTGGGGTTAGCTCCCGGAGCATGAGCTAACTCTGCTGCGGTTCAACAGTTTCCACTCTCATCACCTAATTGAGTAGTCGATGGAAATTCCATCAGTTACTTGATTAGCTGATTAAACACAATTTAACATCCCTAGTGCAGCATGGGAGCATACTCCACTGATATACAGAATGGCATTAAAATCGCCTCAGTCTTCTTGTTCATCTCATTCGTCGTGCAGCCAAACATCTTGTGTGCTTCGTGAGACTGAGCACCGGACTTTATACAGCTCAGGTTTTTCCCCCTTCCTGGTTACAATTAATTTAACCCCCCGAAATGCACCCAGCTCATTCATTTTATTCCTTCCAATGTGCATTATTCATCACTGAACTGAGTTCAGACAAGGTGACTGCCATAGACGTCATATATCACATGGAGCTCAACAACCCTCCACCATGGAGCAAGGCATGTCCTTTACCTGACGTTCTCATGGCGATACATGTACATGGTGTTAAATTGCTGCATCTCTTTCTGGCTTGGGTCCTTTTTCATGTCCTTTAGCATCTCATCTGCCACGTGCTTGGGCAGGATGGAAAGCATCAGCCGTTCCTGAAGTGGCGAGAAGAGAAAGTGGATAAACCAGAGCTCAGGGCAGACCAAAGCTAAGTCAACACACGCATAGAATCATAGACTCGCTGGCTGTGTCTACATTGGCACCCTTTTCCGGAAAAGGGATGCTAATGAGACCAGTCGGAATTGCAAATGCCCCGGGGATTTAAATTTTCCCCGCGGCATTTGCATGAACATGGCTGTTGCTTTTTTCCGGCTCGGGGCTTTGCCGGAGAAAAGCGCCAGTCTAGACAGGGATCTTGCGGAAAATAAACCCTTTTCTGGAAGATCCCTTATTCCTACTTGAAATCAAGAATAAGGGATCTTCCAGAAAAGGGTTTATTTTCCGCAAGATCCCTGTCTAGACTGGCGCTTTTCTCCGGCAAAGCCCCGAGCCGGAAAAAAGCAACAGCCATGTTCATGCAAATGCCGCGGGGAAAATTTAAATCCCCGGGGCATTTGCAATTCCGACTGGTCTCATTAGCATCCCTTTTCCGGAAAAGGGTGCCAATGTAGACACAGCCAGCGAGTCTATGATTCTATGCGTGTGTTGACTTAGCTTTGGTCTGCCCTGAGCTCTGGTTTATCCACTTTCTCTTCTCGCCACTTCAGGAACGGCTGATGCTTTCCATCCTGCCCAAGCACGTGGCAGATGAGATGCTAAAGGACATGAAAAAGGACCCAAGCCAGAAAGAGATGCAGCAATTTAACACCATGTACATGTATCGCCATGAGAACGTCAGGTAAAGGACATGCCTTGCTCCATGGTGGAGGGTTGTTGAGCTCCATGTGATATATGACGTCTATGGCAGTCACCTTGTCTGAACTCAGTTCAGTGATGAATAATGCACATTGGAAGGAATAAAATGAATGAGCTGGGTGCATTTCGGGGGGTTAAATTAATTGTAACCAGGAAGGGGGAAAAACCTGAGCTGTATAAAGTCCGGTGCTCAGTCTCACGAAGCACACAAGATGTTTGGCTGCACGACGAATGAGATGAACAAGAAGACTGAGGCGATTTTAATGCCATTCTGTATATCAGTGGAGTATGCTCCCATGCTGCACTAGGGATGTTAAATTGTGTTTAATCAGCTAATCAAGTAACTGATGGAATTTCCATCGACTACTCAATTAGGTGATGAGAGTGGAAACTGTTGAACCGCAGCAGAGTTAGCTCATGCTCCGGGAGCTAACCCCACTGCAGCTCTGTCTTTTAAATGTAATGATATGTCTTGCTCTTCTGCAAAAAAAGCGTAAAAGCAAACGCGTTCCCTAGACACAGAACAGTTCTGACTACAAAAACTATGTAGTCTAGACATATCCTTAGACAAATTGGATAACAGCCGTTAGTTCGAATTAACTTTAAAAGGCGCTACACATGCAAACTAGCGGAGCGCTTAATTCAAACTAGGTAAACCTCATTCTACGAGGACTAACGCCTAGTTCGAATTAAGTAGTTCGAATTAAGGGCTGTGTAGCCACTTAATTCAAACTAGTGGGAGGCTAGCCCTTCCCAGCATGCCCTGGTGGCCACTTTGGGCCAAACCAGGGAAACTCTTCTGCCCCCCTCCTAGCCCCAGAGCCCTTAGAGGGGCACAGGCTGGCTACAGTGCTTGTGCCAGTTGCAAGCCTGCCAGCACCCAGCCAGCAGACCCTGCACCTGGCACGGCATGAGCCAGCCACCCGCTGCCACCCAGCCCTCCACCTCTTCCAGGTTGGCGGCTCCCAGGAGCCTGCTCAGGGCTGCAAGAGGCGGGCACCTGCCTGGTCTAGTGCAGAGATTGTGGACCTCATCCAGGGTTGGGGGGAGGCCTCCAAT